TGTTCCACTTTTGCGAACGTGAAATCCATGTCTACTAAGTGACCTTTGTGTACGTAGATTCTATATATGCAAATATGGCACTTGTGCTTCACTCTTGACTTCATGAGTTAGTCTTGCAAATGTAGCTTCCATGTATGCGAAGTGACTTTTGTGTAGGTAGATTCAATATATGCAAATATGGCACTTGTGCTTCACTCTTGACTTCATGAGTTAGTCTTGCAAATGTAGGTTCCATGAGTGCGAATGTGACCTTTGCATATATAGATTCCACGCATGCATATATGACTCTTTTGCTTCCATTCTTGAATTCATGACTTAGACTTGCAAATATAGGTTCCATGTATGCGAAATGTGACCTTTGCAAAGTATAGATTCCACACATGCATATATGACTCTTTTGCTTCCATTCTTGACTTCATGGGTTAGATTTGCAAATGTAGGTTCCACATATGCAAATGTGACCTTTGTGTATATAGATTCCACATATGCATCTATAGCTCTTTCTCGTCTCTAATTGTCTCTTTCCATAAGCCCATATGTATATTCCACATTTGCGAATATGAACATGATGTGTGCAACTGTGACTTTACTTCATTCTCTTGTCTTTTAGTTTCTTTCCTTCTTTTTCATAATTTTTTTTTCCAACAAGAAATGTTAGAAAATATGAGAGGATAGGATATTATTATTCATATTTTATTTTAAAAACTTATTTTTTACATATGAAATTACATGAATAATTTATATCCATCAATCTCGGAACCTTTCTATTTTGTAATCAGCCCAGTGCTTTCGCATCTGCGACAAAATTGGCCGCATCTGCAGTCTCGCGGATGCGAGAGTTGCCTACGCTTCTGCGACCTCACGCTTCTGCAGACAAAAAGCTGCGAAGCAGCCTGCTCCTCCTCGTTACGCTTTTACGATCAACCGGCCGCTTCTGTGCCTTCGCAGATGCGGCAAAAGTTCTGCACCTGCACGTACTGTCTAGTCCCTCGCCTGGCCGCTTCTACGATGCCCATTTCTCTTCTGCGAGCTCGCACCTGCGAGCAAAATTCCGCACGTGCGATTGCACCAGAAGGCAAAAAAATTCCAGCAATTCTCAAAGTCCATATTTTCATTCGTTAACCATCCGAAATTCAACCGGGAACTCAACCAATTATACCAACACGTCCTAAAACATCATACGAACTTAGTAAATGCCTCAAATTACATTCAACAACACTAAAAACACGAATTGCACTCCAATTTAAGCTTAACGAAAACTAACGAATTCTACCTTCTATATTCGATGCCGAAACCTATCAAATCAAGTCCGATTGACCTCAAATTTTGCACATAAGTCATAAATAACATAACGAACCTATGAAAGTTTCCAGAACTGGATTTTGAGCCCGTTATCAATAAAGTCAACTCCCGGTCAAACTTCCAAACCTTAAATTTCTAATTTTCGCCATTTCAAGTCAAAATTAACTACGGGATTCCAAATAATTATCCGGACACACTCCTAAGTTCAAAATCACCACACGGAGCTATTGGAACTATCAAAATTCTATTACGGGGTCGTTTATACATAAGTCAACTTTCGGTCAACTATTTTAACTTAAGCTTTAAATCTTGGAACTAAGTGTCCCAATTCATTCCAAAATTTCTCCAACAATTCACATAATCACAATTGAGCATAAAATATTCAGTAAATGGGGGAATGGGGCTGTAATACTTAAAATGACCTGCCGAGTTGTTACAAATTCATACGGAGTTTTTCCAGTTCTTCTATATGGTATTCTATTTTGTAAGTGACATGCAGATAAAATAGCTTCACCCCACAAATTATCAGGAGCATTTGAACTAACTAACATAGAGTTCATCATCTCTTTCAATGTTCTATTTTTCCTTTCAGCTACTCCATTTGACTCTGGTGAATAAGGCGGAGTTACTTCATTAAAAATCCCATTCTTTTCACAAAAATCATTTAAAGATAAATATTCTCCGCCTCTATCAGATCTAATTCTTTTGATTTTTCTACTAACTTGATTTTCAACCTTATTTTATAAGAAATAAAAATATTAAAAGGATCATCTTTGTTTCTAAGTTACTAATGAATTCTCTTTTCTTGTTTTTTTTATTTCCGTCTTTCTAAACCGAGGGTCTATCGGAAACAGTCTCTCTGCCCTATCGGAGCAAGGGTAAGGTCTACGTACACATTACCCTTCCCAGACCCCATTATGTGGGATTTACTGGGTAGTTGTTGTTGTTGTTGTTGTTGATCATCTTTGTTTCTAAGCAAATACAACTTAGTACATCTAGAAAAATCATCAATAAAAGTCACATAATATCTTTTACACCTCTAGTCATAGTCTGCTTTAAATCGCCTAAATTACTGTGAAAATCAAGGGTAACAATTCAGTCTCCATTTATAGAAAAAATAAGTCTTTCTAGTACTTTTAGTTTCAGCACATATTTCACATTTGTCAATATTATTTGAGGCTAAATCAGATATTAATCCTAGCGATTGCATTTTCTTTATATACTCGACATTACATGTCCTAGTCGGGCATACTATAAAGAAACAGACTCAACCATATAAGCAGAAGAAGATGCATTTTCATTGCTACTATCAGAAATATTAAGCATAAATAAACTATGGTTACAATATCCATTGCCCACAAAAATATTGTTTTTGGTCAATCGACCTCATCATTCTCGAAATAAGTCTTCACTCCAACTTTTCCTAATAATCCCACATAAACCAAATTGGTTTGTATATTAGGAACACACAATACATCACTCAATACTAAAGTTCTACCAGATGTGAGTTTGAGAAGGATTTTTTCTTTCCCAAGAACGTGAGTTGTCCTTGAGTCACCAAGATAAATAGTTTCTTCTCCTTCCTCAATTTGGGTGTAAGACAAAAAAAAAATTGTTTGCACAAATGTTCCTAGTAGCACCAGAGTCTATCACCCAATCTCTCACATTGGCCACATTATTTATTTAAAAAATGACCGCAACAACTATATTATCCACTTTAGTCAAATTTAATTTTGACTTAGCGAGATTATCATTTATCCCAACTCTTCTCTTGCATTGAGGTGCATTTTTCTTGAAGGTTTTAATATTAGAATTGGATATGTAACCATGTCTATTCACATACCTGTATTTTAACATTAGTGTCTGTCAAAGTTGTGGATGCAATAACGTATTTGCAACACCATGGATATCTGGCTGGATAGTTGGAACAGTAGCAACGGAGACAACACCAAAATTGGTAGCACCATCAAGAAATTCCATAGTAGTATTACTTGCCATAGTTTCTTAGATTGTTGCGAAATGACACGAGAAAATAATAATATTAATGCAATAATATTATTTGTAAGCAGATACACGAATTGGCTTGAGTCGTGCCGGGCATTGTCCTAAGAAACTATTTCAACAATGTGAAATATTTCCCCATGATTAAACAAGCCTATCTCTATTTATTTAAAGGATACAGGAATCAGCAAAATATTAAGATTACAAACCCATCTATTTGAAAGAGGGGAACAAAAGAAATTAAACTACGAAACTTTGAGAAGGAAAAACAACAAAGGAAAGCTGATGAAGACCGAAATTAGAAGGAAAGAAGTAGAAGGATTTCTTTGTCTTGCTAATGATAGTTTTCTTGTCTAATTGAGAGCCTATTTATAGGCACATGTGCATGGATCCTACATGCTGAGGAAAAAGAACGTGGCAAATGCAATTGCCACTTTTCAAAAGCATTTTGCCATTTATCTCATAGCTTCTAGAAGGGCTGCCACATGGTTTTGGTTAAGACATTTTTCAACAAAAGGCTTTAAAATATTGCCACAGATACCACAGGCGAATTCCACAAAATACGGAAGAGATATATAAGTAAACAAGCCTTAGACCCTAATGATGTGTTTTAAAGATGTGCGGGTCTGAGTCCAAAGCAGACAATATCACTAGTAGATTGGGTTGTTACATATGGTATTAGAGCCACTCTACGTACAACCTTGAATGATGGTGGGGCAAACCTTAGCGAGGAAGCTAAGTCCTGTATATGACACTCCAGGCGGCGAATCTCACATCGACAAAACACGAGAAAGATGATGATTATATAAGTAAACAAATCATTAAACCCTAGCGACACGTTTTGAAATCGTACGGGCCTAGGCCCATGGCAGACATTTACTAGTGGGTTGGGCGGTTAAAATCCAATAATATGATTGTAAATAAAATTCTTTCATTCCAAGATATGAGCATGTATATAGCAATTTTAAATACTGAATGACTAATGTTCTATTTCTTGTGTATTTGCAGGGAATAACTGGGGCATTTATGAAGAAATGCACCTTGAACTATGCATCATACAGAAATATCTTCCCAATATGGGCTCTTGGTGAGTATCGCAAAAATTTTCTAATGAAACTGAAGTAGAATCCTTGGACTTCATTTTCATTTAATGAGTCTTGAGCCTAGGGTCTATTGATAGGGGTAAGATTTGCATACACCCTATTTTCCCAGACACCACTTATGGAATCACATTCAGTATGTTGTTGTTGAAGTATGTACACTAAATATGTGTTTCTACTTATTTTGTGAAAAAGAGGAGGCCAAGCAAGTGGCATACATGTTGTGATCCTCCATTTTGTGATCTAAATTGTAAACATATTCCCAAGATTTCCAATATAATAGAAAGTTGTAATTGTCGTTTCAAAGAGGAGCGATTTATTCTTAAGCAATGTAAAGGAAAATTTGGTGTTTGCTCGTTGCTTGCCTCTTTCAAAGCCTGAGGCTTCAGCCTCTTATTTGGTCCTCTTATATACCGTATATGCAATATTGCTATGTTGAGGCGTAAACTATCACTTTTATGTCAATATGAACAAAATCACAAAGCAAAAAAGAACTCCGCTCTGATAGTATTGCTTTTTCTTTTTTTAGACATAACCAAGCCTTGGGCCAGGCACCCGATGAAATTATTCGAGATGTGCCGCCCCCGAACACCACGGTTACCCAAAAAAATAGGGACATAGCAACAAGGACACCAATATTTTGTACTGCAGTAGGTCTGAGTCAGTATTCAGAATATAATTCAAAACCTGTGCCCTAATTTTTCTGCAAATCCAAGCCCTTTTCTCCTTGCAATCAATGTTTAGACATTTCTTTCTCAATCTAGCTTACTTATTTCAGGTGTACAAAATTGTAAAGCTAGCTAATACACAACATATCTCATGAATTACAACTTGACCTAAAGCAGTCTCTCGACTAACTCCAGGTCCAATAGAAGTAAGCTTTACGACTACCCCAGCAGCAACAGTTGAAGCGGCCGAAATCGGTGGATAAGTTCCTCATACAGCCAGTACGCAACGTTTTTTCATTACCTAGAATTGCAAGTCCCAATAGAGTTTTGAGAAACTCCTTTTTTTTTCAAGGAAAGAGTAAGAAAGGAACCTCAGAAGCACAAAATCTATGCTACAGACATAGTCATAATCTGACGAGCAAGACCAGGATCCTGTTGTAAGAGCTCTCTAAGGTTATTCTCCACCTCCGCCAGATGCTTTTCCAGATACTCTTTAGAAGTCTGTCCAACAAGCAATATCTGTTAACATACTGACCCTTCACCGACATATTCAGTTAATATAAGTTTCATACAAACAGCAAAAGGAAAACTATAATTATTCATAGCAGTAATTACTAGGAAAAGAAACGGATATCAGAAAATAGAGAGGTCTTACCCTCTTAAGTAGGGATGGCAATGGGGCGGTGCGGGTGCGGGTGCGGTGCGGGTTTGAGCGTTAGCGCGGGGACGCGGCTTTGAGAGTTTGCGGTTGCGGGGCGGGGCGGGTTCATTTAAATTAAAAAATCACGCGGGGCGGGGCGGGTGAACGCGGGTGGAGTGTGGAGCGGGTGAATGCGGGTGGAGTGTAGGGGCGGGTGGATGCGGGTGTAAATCCTATGCGGGGCGGGGCGGGGCGGGGCGGGGAGAGTTGAAATTGTGCGGGTTCAGACAGAACATGCCCCGCACCCGCACCGCCTGCCATTCCTCAAGTTAAAAGACCATAAAATATGCAGGACTGCATTTGGTATGAAAGAAAAGGCTTCCATGGAGAAATTTTTGTGAAAATGTTCCGTCTTAGGGAATCACTTTTTAGTGTTTGGTTGAATATAAAAGTTGATAACATGTGGCAATCATAAAATGCGTAGGATAAGACACAAGAATAATGTTTTAATGATATTCTTACTATTAAAGATTGACACAATCTAAGTGTTGATCGAGGCAAATGATATGGAGTGAAATTTGAGATATTTTTAAAGAAAAATGACATTTGTCCACCAGCGATGGAAGTCATCTTATCCCTTTTGATAGTTCAAGGTAACCAAATACTTAAAAATGTTTTCCTTGTGCTCCTTTAATTTCTTCTTGCTTTTCTTTTATACACTAAACAGAGCTTTTATTTTATACACTAAATAGAGCAGAATGCATGTTGAGGATTCATATAGCAAACTCAACTAGCTTGGAATTTGTGTAGCTGTCGTTGTGGTTTTGATGTAACAAATATAGGTAAAGGTGGCAACTAAAGTTCGTTCAACAGCACGGCAGCATTTATTTCTACCAAGGGTCAATATGCTAAAGATTGAGACTGAAATCAGCGAATAGTAGGTAAATGAAAAGTACGGAAAATGGCAAGCTACAGAAAAAACAGGAAGTTCCTATCTACAGAGAAGGAAGAAATTGCTGTCCAGTAATGAGGTTTAAGCTATAGAGTGGATCTTTTCTGTTTCCATTTTTCCCCAAATGATTTAGCTCAGACTTATAATCGGTGGATGCTTTCAGAGCAGAGTCCTCTTTGGTAAAGTAAGTGAATGACTGAACTCTCAAACACCATAGGAACACATTTTTATTTGATGAGTTCACAGCAAAACTTCAAAACTTATTTAACTAATAATTTCAGAACAAAGCATTAATCTTAGGCCTAAGATCAAAATTGAGACTTGAAACTACATTACTTTATCAGCTTGAGACATCTCTATTTAATTACCATAATAATTCTGTGACGCAAATGTAAACTATAACTATGAAGAAGTCAGGCCTGGTATGACAATGAGAAACAATATTCTAAAATGAGAAAGGAATTTGAGAATTCACCTGCAAAGATGCAATTGCGGTTTCACTATCCTTGAGTTTTTGCTCTTGCTCATCCATTAACACAGTCTTTGGCTCTAAGATAAACCTGAAAATAAAAGATTGTTCAAAGTGAGATAAATATAAAAGCAGCACAGAAATTTGAGAAATCCAGAATAATAATGTATATGATCCACATCCCCTTGTCCTTTTTCAGATAACAGCAGGACTGATAGACTTCAGTTCAAAACTTACGTTCTTCCTGCAACAAAAAGACAAAAGACAATGGAACACGACAAAGTTAGAACTCTGGTAAAAATTATTTAAGTGAAATCTAAAAATTAACAAATCATTCAATCAATCAATCAGCTTTTTCCCAATTCCGAAATGGTTTGGGTCAATACATGAAAACTTATACATTTACTCCACTGTATCCGAGGCCACATAATTCCAACACTAAATAATTGTTCTTTCAGGTATTCATCTAAACTGTGTCTTTTCAGGCAAATGTGAATTCTTTAAGGGTGTGTTTGGTATGAAGGAAAATGGTTTCCGGGAAAATGAGTAGTTTTATCACTTATTTTTCCTTGTTTGGTTGGTGAGTGAAAAACTTTTCCGGAAAATTTTGGTTAGAGAGTATAAAATTTTTGGTTAGAAAGATAATTTTTATGCTAC